GTCTGGTAAACTCCATTCATTTCCTCTTGGGATGAATGCCTTGTTTAGAGTTGTGCTACACGACAACATTGGAAGGGAGTTTCACTCTACTGGAATACCACTCAAATACCGGTTAAACAGGTTTGTCAGGATGAACCTGTATTTAGMAACTTGTAATTTTTAACAAAACTTTTGGACTATTTTCTGCTGAAYACTGGTGAACTCAAACAAAAGTTACATGTAAATTAGAGCGGATTTCGTATGAGTGGGAAACAGACGGTACTGTACTGTGACTGTAATCGTACTGTAACCAAATTCTAGTGCCCCATTGGTTCACCAAAATTGTGCAGGCCATGTCCGGTACCTGTGCGGTAACCGTGCGGTAACGGTGTCCCACTCATACGAAATTGACTCTAAGTTACAGTTGAACAGATTGACTACTTGTAAAACAGGTTTTTCAAGTTTTTGTTTCCTGTATTTCAGGTTTGATGCTGTTCACATTGTTCCTGGTTCAGAGAATGGTACATTTTATGCCCGTGCTATGAATATTGGACAAGCTATATTTAAGGTAATATTCTTCTTTGTATGTGTTTGACTTGTTTGTTCTTCTAACTAATAAAAACTTGAAGTTATTTCTGAAGTTATTTGCTGAAGTTATTTCTGTKATTTTGTCCTCAGGTCTGGGATGAAAACTCACCTCTTGTCAATGATTATATAAGAATTCGCGTTGAGTATGGTCTTGCACCAACCAAAGCTACACTACTGTTAGGAATGGCACAACAATTTAAGACTACAATTTGGGCAGATGGTACGTAGATAACAATGCAGACTTTTAAATTTACGTTGACTTAATAATATTTGTTAATTCATGATTTTGTTGATAGGTCACATTGGCAAATGGTTTTCATCCAACCCTGATGTCATTACCATTGACTCAAACACAGGCATTGCCATTGCACTRTCTTCAGGGTCAGCTACAGTACAATACAAGATACCAGAACACTTTTCAGCTCAAACAGAAGTCAAAGTAGAAAGTMTTTCACAAATACAAGTCAACTATGACCAGTCAAAGATTATCACAAACATTCCCCTTAAGGGTGATTTGGGGTATATTGTTCCTGTTACCCTTAGCAATGATTATATGTCGTCAAGCAATGCTGACAACTTGGTTGCTATGGAGGGAGTGATGCTATTTGAAAGCCTTGGTTCACTGACACAGCGTGTGATATCATGTGTTTTAAGGTTTAGTTATGAAATGCAAGGGTCACTTAGAGCGAGAGAACTCTTTGATGTGAAACCAGGTCTTGTGTCAGGTGAGATAATCATGATGATTAGTGTCTGTTGCATACAGGAGTTACAAATAGAGTGGATTTTGTATGAGTGGGAAACGGAAGGTAGTGTACTGTGACCGTAATCGTACTGTAACCAAATTCTAGTGGCCCATTGGCTCACAAAAATTGTGCAGGCCAGGTACGGTAACTGTGCAGTAACCATGCGGTAGCGATGTCCCACTCATACGAAATCCGCTCTAAGTGCAATAATGTAAAAAGTAAATGTAATTAATGGTTTCCCTCACAATTCCTCACACTGTCTTGAAAGACAACCATGTCTAAGAGATCTGTAAGCTTGAAACAATAAATTATCTATGAATTATTGTCCAATGAAAAAGTCATTGCATCGTCACTGGTTATTTAGCTTCAACATGGCTGCCTTTTGATGACACATTGGCAGGGAACTGCTAAGGAGACTATTTTTATACTATTTTTTTAACAGTACACATTACTAACCTTTCATTTTGTGCGACAGGTAAACCAATGTGTTACATCATACCTAAAGCAGCTCCGGCCGACATAACTCTATTTGCAAGTACMTTGGACAGCGAGTTGAATCTTATTGTCAAGGTSCATGACGAGGTTCATGATGATGACGTGTCATCGCATGCAGTTTCATTGCCGTTTCTACCAGCATTTWCACTAAGTGTACATGAAGTGCATCTTACTGGGGAGGATGARAGYAAYGGCAAGACWGTRGCTGTTATTGGTGTGCCAAGACAACTGAAATCTTTGATGGTARTGAAMTGATGTTSCTMTTKAATGATGAACTGATTGATCATTAAATAACTGAAATGTGGGTGGCAAGTGTGAGAGTACAGGGTCCGCAGTAATTAGCTCACGCTGTTGCGGTGTCCCTGCCCATACTAGGGGCAAAGCTAATAAAAATGATGAATATTATTCCAAAGGTTTTCCCATATCACTAGTCTTCGTTATGCTCAGAAACTGTCAAAATTTGATTTTAGGAGAAAAACTTATGCAGTATTTAGATCTGTGGCAATCTGAAGAAATGGGCTGATGAAATGTTAACTGCTAGATTAAYTGACTAAGAAGAAAAATTAATGGACTGAATTAATGGAATAATGGGAAAGTAAAAAATTGAATGGAGAAATGAATTAAACAATAATTCAAATGAATGAACACTACATTAGAGAGGTTTAGCATGACGTTCACGGCAAACGCCAAACGGCAGAAAAGATCACGTGACCTGCTTTTTTAGAGTTTAACGTTGCAGTTTCAACGCGATAGCGGGTTATTTTGAGGTTGCCATAATCGTGRAAAGCCGCTCTTTCAAATGACTACCAAAAGCACAATGTCGGGCACTAAATTCTTAGGTCATTGGTTYAGCTCTGCCGTTAGCCGTTTGCCGTCAACGTGATGCTAAAACTCTCTTTTAGCAGATAAAGTGTAATGAAAATTAATTTGTAATTATTAATTAATAATCATTCAACTATTTATCACCAGGTCAAACCACATGATAAATCTGTTGTACTGGTATCACAGCTTCCTTCACAAGAAGACAATCAAGTTTTATACAAAATCATGGTCACTAAKAACCAGGAATCTTTCCAGGAACATCCTGTAGAATTCCTTAGCATGTTGACTGGACAAAAAAGCATTCTCCATGTATCCTACAAAAGATCTGGCGCAATCCCACCCATCATTGCATACCAACCTTCGTGCCCCAACCCTGCAGATCCYCGATGTCCAAAGGCTGAGAAAGAAGTTCATTGGAGAAGGCTGTTTTTGTCTTTACTTGGSGAAACAAGTGCTTGGTTTATTGGTTTCTCTATCATCATTGCTCTCATTATTGTTTTATTCATTATATGCTGCACAGAAAGAACAAGAAGCTCTCCTCCTGTACAGGCACCATTTTCACCTTATGCCCCTGGGAGCCCCTACCCAGGAAGTCCCATGGGAACACCATATACRGATGTAGGTCCCTTGTACAGTACTGGGACTCCACAAAGTATTGACAGCTCAGCTCAGAGGAAGAGCTTCAAGAGGTCTGAAGTAAGGCATCGTCATACAAAGACTGCCATGGAGGATGAAGATAGTAGTGTTGTTGGWGGGGGGTCMCCAGGGTCAACATCACTGGGACGTTAYTCACCTGGGTACCCCAGGGGACTGTATAGTGTAACACAATAATGGACCAACTTTTTCTGGAGTTGTTAAAAAGTGCARCTCAGTAATAGTGAGTTAAGCTCGGCAGAAAGATGGCATAWCATAATCTTAATACCCTAAATTTAGGGCTCTTTGAAATGTAAAACATTGACCATTGATCTCAAAATGCCATGCAGGAATTGTCACACAATACACTGACATGTCATRCAATACACTCKTATGTCATGCAATACAATGRCATGTCAATCAAAACATGAGCAYGMCAATCAGGTWTTGAAGTTGTGACAATCTTCAGACTATTGTTCGTTAAGTGATTATTATATATTCATCAACTAGGTTTTTTTACTGGCGTGACAAGTGTGTAACGCAATATATGTATCGGTCGCACAACACACTCAATGCACATAATATGATCAAGTATTTTTCTATTCCTGTATCTTTCTCCTAAAGTGTTATATTAAGATAAGTATTTGAATCRGTATTTATTTAGGCTTTTTTGAATGTGGAAGTTAAGGTAATATTGGAAAAGATTGGTGTAAAATTATATCTTGTTAATGTAATCTTTAAAAAGCTAGTTTTTCACAATTAATGTAGAATTATCACTAGCTGTGGCTGGTTGTGGGAAGGGTGGACAACACTTCAACTTCACACACTTTTAGTGGTTGTAATCTATTATTAATGTGTTCTCTGTTAGATTTAATAAATCCTCAAAGATTCCAGTTCAATTTTGTTTTATTTTGATGTCATTATATCACTTGGCTTTACAATCATCACACTATTTTGAGTGAAATAGTATTGACATCATAGTTTATGTAATGCAAAAGAACTTCTAAAAATGTACTATAATTCTACCTGAAACAAATCTTCAGTGCAAAAAAATCAGTAATGTGAATGTGGAAACTGTTGTTGGTCATCCATGAAACCTTTTTTTTGGAAAATTAAAATATTATTTTCTATGTTCCTGCCAGTTGACACAACTGCTTTCATGTGATAATACAAGTTTGTATTTAAATTTAGGTACCATTGAATTAATAATAATAGATTTCATTGATCTGACGTTCAAGGACAGATTGGTCATCCAACATAGCATTAATCCAGGGATAACTTCACAGGTTTTAATTGTTAACCCAGGATTAGCACTAATCTTTTTCAGTTTCCCTTTTCTGGRGGTTTTARCCCCTTGAGAGTGTGTCTAGTAGACAAGGCATTAGTTTGTAGAAGAGCTTCCAACAACTTACCCTAAGATCAATGACATAAATTATGATTATTAGATATAATTACATTATTAAAAAATTTATTGTACTCAAGGTATGCATACTTGGATAATATTTCTTGATAACTATAACTACAAAAAATTTTTAAGATAATTTTCTATCTAATTATTATTTTTATAACTCATAAACTGTGCATCGAAAAAAAAAGTATCGAGTTTGGTTAACTAAAATTACTAAAATTGTTTTTTTTTCCTCTTTTGATAGTTTTTAGTCTCGAAATGAAACATTTTGAGATTTTTAAATCTTTAAAAAGATTGTAAACCATTTTTGTACATTTTTAAACATCACAGACCTACATGTAAATCTGTACAAAATATAATATCACTGTGCTGTAATAAATAAGATAAATAAACTAATAATATATAAAACAGTACTCCTAATTAAAGCAAGATATTTCTTTTTTACAAGATAATTTTTATTTAGTGAACAAGTGAAAGGGAAACTGACTTCTAAAAAAAACTTCTCCCTTTTCCCATTCATCTATCTCTTTTTCCATTTGTGTTCATAATATTCCAGTAATTTGTTCATTTTCATTTACTTTTTCCCATTTTCCATTCTTTTCTCATTCCTGTTACTTTTCTTTCTTGTTTCATTTCTCATCTTTTACAATTCTTTTATCCTCTTTTCTATTTTCTATTCATTCTAATATGTGTTTCATTTTATTCAATACATCCCTGCAATTTCTCTCAATTCRTGCCARTGTCTTTCRATGTCCAGTTCTTTGTCACTTGGCTCGTAATAATCCAYGTCATTACAACCATCMAYATCATTATCCACYTCTTGATAACAGAACTTGTCTGTAGGTACATAACGCTCAAAGAAGGGACATTTTTCCAAGTGGGACGCCATGCCTGGACTAGATGAGTGCACCCAAGTTTTAATGGGAGAAAAAGCAGCTGAGAAAAACCATTTCTGAAAAAATAAATGATCTTATGTTATAGGAATTAAATTATATTACAGTAATGATAATTATCACAATGATTATATGAGACATCGTTATAATTAATTATATCACAACTTTCWAGAATATATTAAATCATAATATGTTGGATTTATTCAAATAGTGTACCACAGTCAATAATTGATGACTCAACTAAGTTTTGTTTTGCCAAGAAATGATGGCATAATTATATAAATTTATTTTAGAAGCTTGGTTTTGAATAATTGATTAACTGTAGGAGTCATGCTGACTGATATGGAAAAAAGAAGACAAGAAAATTTAGTGAKAATTCGACTTTTAAACTGTTAAAAACACCAGGTGTTAGCAAGGAACCAAAACTAAGACTGACTTGCTCAAATGTGCTAAAATTTACAGGTTTTTTTTAAAACACCTGTGGAGTCCCTTCTTCATCTGTCAATCACAATAATAATTTATTCAACTTCAAATTATCAAATAGGTTTTGACTTCCTATAATATAATCCCACATAAGAAGCTTAAAAAGCAGTACTGTCTTTAATGGTATTAGGCTCTTCAATGTATTAATCTTTTAGATCAAAAGACTAAGAAGGGAAGGGTTAATTATTTTTTTAATCTCTTTAATAAATGGGAGGGGAAAAATTTCCATGTCGTTAGCTTGTGAAWAACTATACATGAATTTGTTAGGAGGGGAGGAAGGGCGAAGCATTAACCTATCATTAGGTTATTTCAGAATTCAAACCAATAGACTAAGTGGGRGAGGGCAGGGGAAGTATTTTACCTTTTGTCTAACTTTCCATGACCAAGTCCCATTGTCATAAATTCTTTTTTCCCATTCAAGAGATACAAGCCCATTTCTCTCCAAAACTCTCTGACACACTTGCCTCAATAGCTTACTGGTACAAGAAAGTTGACATAAGCTAAATCCATCTAGCATACCAGCAATAGTTTCCAAGATTTCAAGTGGCAAGTTACTAAAAAAATCCTGGTCTGTATCCATGGTGATATGATGCATGCATTCCTTACTAACTGGYTCATCRTCTGTGTTTAGAACACAATATTTTACTCCAAAGCTGCCAAGCTCCTTATTGAAGGTCACTCTCCCACACTGATTGTTAGGCAARAGCCTGTGGTGWACGTAAGTACAGCCGTACTGAGCAAGAGGGCAACGATGCTCAACCCAACCATTTAACCCACCATGAATTTCACTATGAACATTCTTAAAGTGATCGCCATATTCATTACGACGGAACACCTGATTGCATGGAATTGAGTATAAAGGGGCTTGTTTTTGAAACTTTGGTAGTGTTTCTAGCATCACGTTGAGGCCAAGGGGTTCTTTTAAATAGATGTCTTTGAACTTTGGAGGTTCTGGAAGTTCAAGATCTAAATCTGATGTTTCTTTGCTGTCTGTAGTTATTGGTTGGTCTTGAGTGCTGATTGATTGCATTTCATTGATTAGTGAATGGTTACAATAACACCCTCTATTGTTACCCACTGTGATCTTCTTAGTGCTGTCAATCAAATGATTATCTGTGGTATTATCTTTAATTTCTTCTTTGTTGGTCTCTAGGCATTGTCGCAATATATCCCCTACTTCAGTTAAATTAGGAGTGTCTGATTTAGAATTTTGCTCGCGCAGCTGGTCTCCGTCTGTGTTGGTCTTAATACAAGATGCGGTCGAATTGATGTTTTCACACAAGATCGCAGCACGTGGACTATCGGGCCGCAACATTTCCGATTCACTTTCAAAATCTTTTAAGTTGATGTCTTCTTGTTTCATTTTCATGCCGATAGCCTGAGCCAATGCGTTGAAATTCCCTTCCGGCGCCTCAGTGATGAATTTTAAGGGCTTCAACTTGTGTTCCAAGGCTGACAATGCCACGGCCATGTCGATTTGACGCGTGTCAACATGTCTTGCATTCTTGTCCATATCCYCGCCATCTTGAACATCACAGCTTGTGGAATTTGTTCTTAGAATATCAACTTTTGCTTTTCCTTTCCGAAGCCGCTTCTTAAACATTTCCTGTAATACTCTCTGATCCCTGAGGGCTAGTTCTACGTCTAAATGTCCTTTCACAAGAACAGGATTCGGCTGAAAGAAGGGGACCCARCTAAGGCGTGATTTGGAGTAGAGAGGGTATCGATTCCATTGCATTGTACAAWATACAATACTTGCTGGACACACAACAAGATGTTGACTTAGTTTTGCTCTTTTCACTTTAACTGGGCAGCCATAGACAGCACTAGGACACGGGACCGTCTCTTTCACGCAAAGCAGTGAATGTTCATGAGACTTGCATTCGTGAAACCGCGCACCGCAGTTAMACTTACAAAACATCATCTTGCACGACTTGGTAGTACTGCAGCTATATTTGAAACAATTTTCACAGTGTTCATGAGAATCTTTATCCATTTTCACAGTTATATCAAAGTCCTGAAAGTCTTAAATCGCTTGATCAAGTGTTCCAATCAGTTAGCCAATCTGTTGCCATCGAACGGCTTTGAAATTTATTTTATTTACTRGAGTGGAAGACCGCGCGCCATAAATACCGCACAATTTTTTGAAATTACCCATGTGTCCTAGCAACTTCCGGAATTATTTGTAACCTTTTATTGTTCTTGAGCGGAAGGGCTGTTCCTTKCAAAAATGGTTAAGGAAGTAAGGATTTCAGTTTACTATAAGCTCTAGGCTTGATAAATTTTACAAAGGAAGAATATGAAATCATTTTTTGGGAGGGGCGCTACAAATTATCGATGGAGTATTGATTAAAGTTGTACAGTTTATTACATGTAATAGATTTATAGATTGAAAATGTTTTTTTTTCCTATCGTTTTCATGTTATGGATCTTTTCAAAAATAAAAATTGCATTCCCATGATCCATTGCTATGAATGACGTCATCCATCATGGCGGAAACTAAACCTCGAATCATGATGAACAGACGAAAAGTGCTCATTTCTTAACAATATTCCTCTATAATTCCTTTATTTGTAAGCTGATTTGATACATAARCATTCAAAATGACTGTTATTGTATGTATTGGCTGTGCTTTGATATCTTTTGGGCCAGCTTTTGCGTTATTTRCAATGACAGTCGCTCGCGATGCTCAGCAAGTCATCGTTCTTATTACAAGGTAAGCTCGTATTTTTAGCTTGTAATCGCATGTGAATCATTGTAACATCTTGTTAGTTCTACTTAAAATTTACTCTTGTACTCGCTGTATGTCTTTGATCGGAAATATKTGGTCTGATTACACTTCTGAAAGCGTTTCTAATCTCGTAAAATATCCAAATAAAATTAAGCTTATAAAATGTCAAAATTTCTTGTGCCTTTCCACTTGAAAATCTAATTTTGTTAATTGTSATTGTGTGTTCATATTTTTATGTATCATCTTTTAGCTATATCAATGTTAAATTCCCGTCTTATGATTATTTTTAGTGCGTTYTTTTGGCTCGTTTCTTTACTCATTTCGTCAATATGGTGGACCGTTGTGTCGCCATTGAAAACACAGCTGGCATTTGGTATTACTTTCTCTGTATTATTCCAAGAGTTATTTCGTTTAGCGTATTACAAACTAATCAGGTTAGTATTACTTCAAACAATGTCGACAATGAACGAGTCCATAGAATACAAAATAGTTTGTCGTGAAGAATTTAATTGTTCAGTTAGGGTGGGTGAAAGAAATTATTAGAGGTCACTTTTCTATTTACTTGATGTGTTATTGATTAAATTTTGTTTGTTTGTCTCTTTTGACATTGCTATTTAATTGCCAATTTAGACTAGTGTTCAAGGCTGTACATGTTCATTCCAATCCACAACTGCAACTTTTTTTGCTTCTAATACATTCATTAATCCATGGTCATGTTATTCTTTTAGCTATAAATATTACTTAATATCAAAATTCCACATGCTATTAGCACCCCCCTGTAATACTAGATAAGCCCTATAGCAAGACCCAAGACCCATTACTATGCTAGTTGGTTATGTCCTTAGCACTCCTCTTATGCCACTAGATCAGTTGATATTGRTGCTATTTTGGATTTTGTTTCAAGACAGAGGTCAAWTTAATTTTGAACCACACCCCACTTYACAACCTTGCCCTTTCAATTATCTTGGCCTCTTTAGTTGAGGGTCAATTAACTATATTAGTGGGTCATTTCAAATGCTATAACTCTTAAAATTTGACACACCCTAGAGCCATTAACACACCCACACCAGTGGTGCCGCAACAAGAGCTTATTTGTAAACTCTTGTGTATTTTTTTTTCATTTTTTCTGCTATTGATTATACTGTAYCATCACATGTAAAATAGACATCCTTTTCTTTGCAAGAAGAATGGTATTCACTTCTTTAAGTAAAGATATAGAGGGCATTTCGTATGACCGTCGTACCGTGCCGTAGCAGTGATKTATTGTTAAATCATTATTTTTATTTGGAATCCTAGAAGGTGAGGTTCCGTGCCATTKAACAGCCATACGAAATCTGCTCTAGCATTGATACTTCAATCCTTAACCTGAAGGTTACTAACCCATTATTATTATTTATTTATTTTTTACCCACAGAAAAGCAGACGATGGTTTGTTATCAATGATTAATAACCAATCCCCACTGAGAAAACATAGGATAGCTTATGGTGAGTAGATTAAACACCAGTGAGGTCGCCATACCAATAAACTTTAC